GGACCATTAAGTGAAGTAGCCCTAGTTCTAGTGAGGGCATGAAAATGTCCCTGGAAAATATGACACATGTTGCTTGAATTGGCAAGCAGAGACAGGGAAGTCTAAGTGCCACAGGCACTAGGATTTCCTCAAAACGCAAGAGTAAAGAGATGGTTCAAAATAGGGGATGGGACTGTTAGTACACTGCCAGACAAGGAAGACCAATTAGTATCAAATACTAGTAGGCGTGGAGGCCTACTACCTTATTTAAGGCCTCAGGATTCTGGGTTTCCAATGTGGGCAGGACCAAAGACATCTCCCCTATGGCTTCAACCAGAGGCTTTAGCCACTGCTAATAGTTTTGGGAACATCCTTTGTGTAGGCATCATCCTGCTATATTTAGCTATGTTCTTTTACTGGTCATTCCAGCAATGTCATGTGGTAGTTACTAATTATTATTACCATGTAGAAGTAAGGGAATACTCATAGAAGAATTACATAATTTGGCCACACTCAGGATTGAAACAGGCAATCAGGCCAGGATCATGCCCTGAGGGATTTACCTCCCCCCCACTTTTTATTTTTTATTTTTATTTATTTATTTTTTGGGACAGGGTCTCATTCTGTCCCCCAGGGCTACAGTGCAGTGGTTTCATCATAGCTCGCTACAACCTCCAACTCCTGGGCTCAAGCAATCCTCCTGCCTCAGCCTCCCAGATAGCTGGGACTATAGGCAGGTGCCACCATGGCCTGGCCCGGATTTACACCTAAACCATGCTTGAATATTTTTTTTCATGAATACATTATTTTAAAATGTACTTAAAATCAGCTTTGGAGAGCAAGAAATGAATGCCTAATTGTATATGGGGTTTACAAAATTTTCCTCACAATCCCCATTACAAAATTGGATCAGTTATTTAAAGTTCACAGTACTATGCTATCCAGGCATTTGCAGATAAAGACATGTGGTTTATAAGTAGAAAATGAGATTTTAGAGGTCAGTTTACATTGCTAATGCCCATGGTTTTCTTTTCCAATGCAGTGCTCAGAAAAGTTAAACTTGCTGCCAGTTGATCTTTAGGGCCTATAAGTCATGATTTTTTTTTTCTTTCTTTTGTAAAGAAACTTTTGCTGATGTAAGGAATTTGCTGCACAACTTAAAATATGTGTAACTCTTCACCATTTTTACTTTTCTCTTATTCAAAATGAGCCTAAATTTCCCTACTCCTATGATTGCAACTAGCCTCCTGCTTGGGACAAACAAATAAATAATATAGAAATAGTACTTAGAATCAGATAGATGGGGTTCAGATCTCAGTTTTATTAATTTCTGTGTAAGGAGCCAGTTAATCTTAATTCCTTCGGTCATTCACATATAAAGCAGGAGATTCCATTTCACAGGAGGTCACTGTAGGATAAAATCAATGTCATAATGCATGTTAAGGACTCTCACACAAATGTTAATTCCTTGTAACCCTCCTCTCTTAAAATGGGATTTCAGGGAATGAAGTAGCTGTGGGCAAGGTCGGTCCAGGACATGGAGGAGGAAGTGTAGGGAGAACTTGGAACCTTGGAGCCTAAAAGAGGCTAACAGATAGAAGCAGATCTCTGTCTCCTCACCTCCCAGGAATCATGGTTGTTGAATTAAGTAGCACTAAAACTAACTTCTTTCCTCCCTTCTTATGCTAATCTTGTTGCCTGTTCTACCTCTTAAACAGCAATATGTTCAGCCAGGTAGAAAACTCTAGTGGATGACAGAACAGAGTTCCCTGTTTTGCCAAGAGGTAATATATAGCTAAATGAAATAATCCAAGAATGACAAACTTAGTGAACAAACTCGTAGAGATGTTAGTGGACTTGCAACGACGGTGGTATGAGAAACTCTGATAGAGACCCGTGATTTAGAAATGCAACCAGCAGAGGTGATACTGCTGTATCAGTGAGCACTAGCCATTCACAAGCTAACAGCAAATTACAAAACGAAGTAGTTAAATTTCCTCAATTCTTACCCTTCTCTTGATTTTTGTTTAGATTTAAGACCGCCCAAAACTCCAGATTTCCATCCAGTTACTCCCAATCAAGGGCAATAGGATTATGACAAAGCGAAAGTAAAAATGAAAACAAACCTCAAATCTCTCCTCTCAGGATGTAGGGTAAGGGTGGTGTGGTTCTTGTTAGTTAAACAACTTATAAAACTGTGCACTCTTTTTCTTATACGCATTTACTTCTTGGTGGACCTTAAAATCTATAGAATAAGAAATATGTCCCAGTATTTTTAAACTTTTAATCCACGTGTTGCCCTATCTACTTTACTTTGCAAACCTAGAGAATTACAGATCTTTAAAAGACACTATGAGTGGCTCTTAGAAGAGCCTTTTTGTGTCACTGGCATTTTTACTGACAGCCAAATTTATTTGGAGCTGGTGTACTTGGTGACAGCCTTGGTGCCCTCAGACACGGCGTGCTTGGCCAGCTCTCCGGGCAGCAGCAGGCGCACCGCCGTCTGGATCTCCCTGGAAGTGATGGTCGAGCGCTTGTTGTAATGCGCCAGGCGAGACGCCTCGCCCGCGATGCGCTCGAAGATGTCGTTGACGAAGGAATTCATGATGCCCATGGCCTTAGACGAGATGCCGGTGTCGGGGTGGACCTGCTTCAGCACCTTGTACACGTACACGGAGTAGCTCTCCTTGCGGCTGCGCTTGCGCTTCTTCCCGTCCTTCTTCTGCGCTTTGGTCACCGCCTTCTTGGAGCCCTTTTTCGGGGCAGGAGCAGACTTAGCTGGATCAGGCATTTTGAAGCTGCACTTTCACCTTCGAGAAACGAAATGCAAGATGTGACAAATGCAAATGCCTTTATTGTTTGTTTGGCATGTATGCAAATTAGGATTTCTGGGTTACAGCTTCTGATTGGCTCTTTTAGTAGCTGAATACCTGATAGGCTATTTCTGAATTCCTAAATCTCATTGGTTCTTCCCCAAACGTCAACCTTAAATGACTAGACCGTTGAACTGACCGTTGAAAATGACTTTAAATAAATTAGAAGCGATCTTTTTTTTTTTTCTTTTCCTAACACCTGTTTTTCCATTGGTTGAAATTGGTGTTCGGGCAATACCATAGGCTATTTTACCAAACTGCCGCAAAATAGTTGAGCTGCTTGCGCTTTACTCGTGTCAATTTCTTACGGTTTCCTATACAATTATTTTAGTACTTCGCTATGTCTGGACGAGGAGAGAAGGAAAAAAGGCTCGCGCTAAGGCTAAAACTCGCTCATCTAACGCTGGTCTCCAGTTCCCAGTCGGCTGAGTGCACCGCCTGCTTTGAAAGGGCAACTACTTCGAGCGGATGGGGGCCGTCGCGCCGGTTTACTTGGCGGCTGTGTTGGAGAGTACTTGACTGCTGAGGTTGTAGAGCTGGCGGGCAACGCTGCCCGTGACAACAAGAAGACCCGATTTATCCCCTGACATCTGCAGCTGGCCATCCGTAAGGACGAAGAGCTTAACAAACTGCTGAGCAAAGTCACCATCGCCCAGGGTGGCTTCCTGCCCAACATCCAGGCTGTGCTACTGCCAAAGAGCCCCGAGAATCACCACAAAGCCAGGAGCAAATGAAGTAATCAATTGAAACATCAGTAGGTGTAACTACCATGTCCCCTGGCCCCCACATAGGCTTTTTTAAGAGCCATCCACATTTTCACATCAAAAAGCTTGGAGTTGACTAAGAATTATGGCTTTTCTTACTCTCTATCAACCTTTAAAAAGTTATACGCCCATAATCCTTCAGGTTACTCACTATATAAGTGACTAAATTGACTGCAACTTAAGTGTCCTGTGACACCATTGTGCTTCAGTGCGGTCCAGGCAAACAGGACACATAAGAGAACATGTTTAATATTGCAAGTAAGGGCCTTAATATAGTTAGGAGAAAGCAAGTTCGGTAACATTTACAAACCTTGTAATTTTTAGATGGACAGGGCCACTCCAGTGCTCCTCAAGTTACCCTGCAGAAGACGCTAGCCAGAGCTGTAGCCTAGAATGTCAACAATAGGACCGAATGAGAAAAACTAAACGATCAAATTTTGGGGAAATAAAAAGTCAACTCCGGGGCGGGCGCAGTTGCTCACGCCAGTAATCCTAGCACTCTGGGAGGCCGAGGCGGGAGGATTGCTTGAGCTCAGGAGTTCGAGACCAGCCTGAGCAAGAGCGAGACCCTCGTTTCTACTATAAATAGAAAGAAATTAGCCAAACAACTAAAAATAGAAAAATTAGCAGGGCATGGTGGCTCGAGCCTGTAGTCCTAGCTACCCGGGAGGCTGAGGCAGGAGGATCGCTTGAGTCCAGGAGTTTGAGGTTGCTGTGAGCTAGGCTGACGCCACGGCACTCCAGCCCAGGCAAGAGAGTGAGACTTTGTCTCAAAAAAAAAAAAAAAAGTCAACTCCGAACCGAACCAAAACATCATTTGGGACAACATGATATAAGTCAATCAACATCTGTTGCGCATTGTTGTGTGTCTTTCACCTCCGGGCTAGGCGCTTACCTGTGATTTCTCATCTATTCCACCTAGGAACTCTGCCATGTAGTTCAAAGGGTTGGTTCACTGGAGCTAGGAAGTGGCAGTCCGGGTGACCCGAAAAAACAAAACACACGTAAGTCTGTTCTCAAAGCGTGGTCCTCGGAATATCTGGCTCCACCTCACATCTACTAGATCACAATTAGCATCTTCCAAGATCTTCAAGTGGTTCTGTAGGGACATTACAGCTTGATATTTGCGGAATTAGAATCGTAGAAAATTAACTCCCTTGGATCCCAGATTTTAACAAAGAGGGGATTCAAAGGTGAATCAATTCATCCAATCAGAATCTTCAGAAATTCTCCAATCAGCTAATTGACTCTTCAGCCAATGGTTTCATTGCGCGGGGCTTTTGAAAATCAACAAGGCCAATCAGAATGTTTCTGAGTATATATAAAGGCAACCTCCTGCAGCTTGGTTGTCGAGTTTGTGCTCTTTCTTATACTTGTTCAAAGGATGGCGCGCACAAAGCAGACTGCGCGTAAGTCTACTGGCGGGAAGGCGCCGCGTAAGCAATTAGCCACTAAGGCTGCCCGCAAGAGCGCTCCGGCTACCGGCGGCGTCAAGAAGCCTCACCGCTATCGACCTGGCACTGTGGCTTTGCGCGAGATCCGTCGCTACCAGAAGTCTACTGAGCTACTTATTCGTAAGCTACCGTTTCAACGTCTGGTCCGTGAGATCGCGCAGGACTTCAAGACCGACCTGCGCTTCCAGAGCTCGGCGGTGATGGCGTTACAGGAGGCTTGTGAGGCCTACCTGGTGGGCTTGTTCGAGGACACCAACCTGTGCGCCATCCACGCCAAGAGAGTGACCATCATGCCCAAAGACATCCAGCTTGCGCGCCGCATTCGTGGGGAGAGAGCGTAAAGCTTCTTCAGCAATGATTTTACTCAAAGGCTCTTTTAAGAGCCACCCATTTTATCTTAAAATAGCTGTAATTCAATTCTGTGCTTATGCTGCGATTCTCTTGTGTTAAAGGTCATTTGTTTCGGGGCATTTAAGTGAAGGTTTGCGTTTTTGTATGTTTTAAGTTTGCTGGATTTGTTTCTGGCAGTCTTCTGGAAGCTTTAGTGAGTTTAGGTGTATTCTCCCCCTTTTTTTTAAGCTGGGGTTGACAAAGTTACCGCGTGTTGGATCTGGTAATGGGATTAACTACACAGTAGTTTTGGAATGGGGCAGTAATTGCTAATTGTTAAAAGTTTTGGGTAATCCGGGTACACAGCATGAAAGTTCTTTACCTGCATAGGTTGGATTCGGGTCAACAGCATAGGTGTGCATTTGCAGTTCACCTCTTAAAATTCTGCTCTCACAGCTTTGGGCATTGGTCGTTGAGAAAGGTATGTAGACAAAGGTAAACTTGGTGCTTTCTCATGACTCAAACCTCAAGTTATTTGCTCATTTCCATTTATGTTTAAAAAAGGCAATTTTTGGCTTTAATGTCAAATAAGTTTGTCTTTGCTGATAGTTGGCTTTATATCAAAAATTACAGGCCGGGCGCGGTGGCTCACGCCTGTAATCCTAGCACTCTAGGAGGCGGAGGCGGAGGCGGGTGGATCGCTCAAGGTCAGGAGTTTGAGACCAGCCTGAGCAAGAGCGAGACCCCGTCTCTACTAAAAATAGAAAGAAATTATCTGGAC